TGGGATGTTCTGGTGTAGTTGGGATGTTCTGGTGTAGTTGGGATGTACTGGTGTAGCTGGGATGTTCTGGTGTAGTTGGGATGTTCTGGTGTAGTTGGGATGTTCTGGTGTAGCTGGGATGTTCTGGTGTAGTTGGGATGTACTGGTGTAGCTGGGATGTTCTGTAGTAGTTGGGATGTTCTGGTGTAGTTGGGATGTTCTGGTGTAGTTGGGATGTACTGGTGTAGCTGGGATGTACAGGTATAACTGGGACAAAATCACCTTTAGACTCTCACCAACATGTTGTTTACATGACAACACGTTTTCTTTGTAGCGTCCATAATTTGACTCAAAGCTCAGGAACACTGAAGTCATAAAAACGACTTACCAAAGCAGAAAACAGGATTATCCCAGGAGCACCTGAACGCAGCGTCAACTCAGCAGCATCATAATTATATCAAACTTCAGACCTGATAGACATTTTATTTATGTTTGTTTTGCTATATTTCATCCATTCCATGTTTTTATTTATTTTTCCATATTCTTTTTTTCTTTTACTGTATTTAATTTATTAAATTTTAGGGTTTGCTGTTTTATATTATTTATTTACTTATTTTACTGTATTTCGTGACACATTTTAGGGTTTTCTTTATGTTTATTTTGCTATATTTCTATTCAATGTTTTATTTTTTCATTTTCATTTTTGTTTACGGTCTGCTTTATTTATATTCACTTTACTTTATATTTTCCCTTTGTTTTCTTTTACTGTATTTTATATTATATTTTAGGGGTTGCTTTACTTATGTTTACTTTGCTACATTTTTTCAATTTAATGTTTCATATTCCTATTTGTTTTTGCATTTTTTCAAAATGTTTTCCTATAGTTTAAATTCAGTTTTAGAGTTTGCTTTATTCATGGTTATTCCGCTCAATTGTTTTCATTCAATGTTTTATTTTATTTTTATTGTATTTCTTATTCCATGTTATTATTATCCTGTGTTTTTATTTTGAAGGAGCGTCTTCCGTACTTCCGTTCTTCGCAACCATTTAATCCTTTCC